CGAAGCCATCGGCGTAGTCGCCGCCGGGGAGAGTGTCGAGGACGTTGGATCTCCCCACCAGCAGGAGGCACTCCGACTTGCTCCCGCAGAAAAAAACTCCTGGGTGCACCAGTCAACTTCGACGTTTACATCGGCCCGAATCGTCTCGTCTGGCGAAAAATCTCGGCGCCCCGCAGGGGCCCCTGGCCGCCCCCCGCCCCCTGCTCCGCCCCCCGGTCCCCGACGGCGCCCCGAACCCTCACGGACCGATGAAATTCGAAGTTGTCCAGTGTATCCTTCGCTGGTGCTCCGCCGGACGAGACTGGGGTCGCGGTTGTCCCGCCCAGCCACGAAGCACCCGAGGATGTCAGCCTCCGAGAGCAAGGACTTCCCCTCGACGCAGGCCGCGTATTCGTAATGCCGCGTGGCGTGCACCACCAACACGGCGCGCAGCACAGTCGCGCAGTAATTTCTCTCGCCAAGCGATGCATCACACGACAAAATATAACCGCGCACTCGCTGCTGGACCGGGTCGTCCACCGGGTCGACGCAATGGAGATTGAGCAGGAGGCAGCTGTTCAGGAAAGACACTGGCAGTGTAATGTCGTAGAGCGGGTGCTTGTATGTCTTCCTGGGGTTCTTCTTCTGCAGAAAATCGGAAAATCTCCCAGCCCCGCCCGGCATGTCCACCGAGCAGCGGTCGGCGGAGAACGGTTTGTACCGGTCAGAAGACTTCTTGTGCAGTTCAAGCAATTTCCGCAAAGCGACATAGCTCTGCGCCGCGCCGACGACCACATCCTGCACATTCTGTCCCCAAGTGCTGCCCCAGAGTGCAGTCAGCTCGTCCCCGAGGCCCGCGAAATTCACAGGATGGTGCCAGTCCAGCGCGTTCACGCGCGCCGTGGGCGCCGGTGCCTCTGCAGCGGGCTGCGCGTTCAGGGGTCGCTCCAAGCCAGCCTGAGAGCTCGCGGTTGCGCCGCTGGAAGGCTCCTCGGGCGCGGCTCCGGAAGGCGCCGCAGGCACGTCTGGCACGGAAGAGCTGGGCACTGCTTCGGCAGGTGGCAGGTTGTGGTGAGCCCTGCACGGACAGCGCGGCCGGTGGCACCCGCCCCCCCCGGGAGTGCGCGGCCTGGAACATCCCGGACTGCACTGCGTGTCAGGAGCGCCGCACCAGTCAAAGCGGCAGGGGCCTTCCCGGACGTCGAGGGAGGGGTGGCCTCTCTTGGCGCCAGCGGGGAAGGACGGGATTGCAGCGGCGAGCCCAGCGAGGGCCATGCGCGAAAGAGTCCCGGGCGGAGCAAGGGCGGCCGCGAGGCAGCCGCTGATGGCGCGGCACGCAACAGGAGGCACGTGGGCGCGGCACGCGACGAGGCTGACCGCGGCGAAGGCTAGTGGAACGCCAGCGCCGCCGCCCTCGCTGCCGACCACGCGCCACAACGCCGCCAGAGGGACAGGGCGGAACAGAGCTGCCACGCCGCCGCGCAGCGTCACCAAGGCGCCCATGGCCGCGGCCGAAAGGAACGGCCAGGCAGACGGCCACCACACAGCGATATGCCCACGCGGCCCGGGGCCACCGCCGGGCCCTGCAGGGAGGCCGACCGGCGGGGCGAGGGGGGGCGTCCCAGGAGCGAAGTGCTCGACCGGGGAAAAGCCACCGCCGGCTCCTGCGGGGAGGCCAGCCGGCGGGGCGAGGAGAGGCGGCCCAGGAGCGAAGTACTCCACCGGGCAGAAGCCACCGCCAGCTCCTGCGGGGAGGCCGACCGGCGGGGCGAAGAGAGACGGCCCAGGAGCGAAGTGCTCGACCGGGGGGGGGCCACCGCCGGCTCCTGCGGGGAGGCCAGCCGGCGGAGCTAGGAGAGGCAGCCCATGGAGCGAAGTACTCGACCGGGCACAAGCCACCGCCGGCTCCTGCGGAGAGGCCGGCCGGCGGGGCGAGGAAAGGCGCCCCAGGAGCGAAGTGCTCGACCGGGGAAAAGCCACCGCCGGCTCCTGCGGGGAGGCCGGCCGGCGGGGCCCAAGGCGGAGACCCGGGAGCGAGGAACTCCACCGGGGCAGCGGCAGTGCTGGGTCCTGCGAACAGGCCGCCCAACAAGGCGCCGGCAGAAGCCAGGAGGGCAAGAGTGACAGGGAAACGTCCCATCGCGCGCCGGTTCCTGTGAACAGAAAGCTGAGCACCACGACCGGCTTGAGCGAAAACGATTACGGAAGAGGTCGAACAACACTGTAAGAATCGCTATCTGCTGTTCCATCTTCGCCGGCCCAGCGGGCCAAAGGCTTGCGGAAAACATGTGGCGAGCGGAACGGGCCCTGGGATCTCCTGGGAACTAAAACGTAGACGATGTCCCGCCCGGATGAAATCTCCTCCGACGATTGGTCATCATGACCCTCCTCGTGCTCGTCCTCCTCCTCATCCTCCGCCTCCTCCTCCTCCTCCTCTTCAACCTCATCGTAATAATAGTAAACATAATGCTGCCAACCCTCTTCAAGGAAATCAAGATCGTCACCAGCATCATCGGTGCCATCCTCACCACCGACACCATTATGATCATCGCCGTCTGTGTGAGCATTGGTATAACTATAGTCACAATCTTTATGTAATGTATGCGATCTTCCACCACAAGAGTTCGCTTCATCCCATCGTCATGCCCATCACCAGTTGTATCATCATAACGGTCAGACTTACCATAATCATCGTCGTCATCCAACCGTCGTCGACACCACCGCCAAAACCACTATGATCGCCATCGCCATCTCGAAATAATAAAAATTGGTTCGGTCAGCTGCGCCCGAAGATGCTGGGGCAGCACGGCGGGGCTTGCCGCAGGCAACTGGATGTCTACTGCTGGTGAATATGACGGCGGGGGCGCCCCAAAGGCGTTCGTAGGGGGGCCCAAATGCGAACGATTCCACCGAGGAGCGGAGAATGTCCAATGTCCCCAAATGTGTGATCGAGTGCCTCTTACGTGACCCCATGAAGGCTCTCGGCACGCGCTCCAGAGCTCCGGGTGGACAGGGCTTCGACCAGCAGCGTCGAGTGAGAAGAGGAGGTGGGAAGACATAGGAAGAGGGAGGAGGACGAGGGAGTTCGTAGTAGAACGTAGGTGAAGGTAGGAGGAAGTAGAAGGTGGGAAAAAGTAAGAGGCAGTAGGAGGAGCCAGGAGGTAGGGGGGATACGAGGACGAGTGAGCTACGAGGAGGTAGGAGGAAGGAGGAGAAGGTAGGAGTAAGTAGGAGGTGGGACGAAGAATGAGGCACGAGGAGGTGGAAGACGGAAGGACGAGAGAGAGAGAGAGAGCAGCAGGAGGGAGATAGAGAGAGAGAGAGAGAAAGAGAGAGAGCGAGAGAGAGAGACCAGCAGCGTCGAGTGAGAAGAGGAGGTGGGAAGACATAGGAAGAGGGAGGAGGACGAGGGAGTTCGTAGGAGAACGTAGGTGAGGGTAGGAGGAAGTAGAAGGTGGGAAAATTTAAGAGGCAGTAGGAGGAGCCAGGAGGTAGAGGGGATACGAGGACGAGTGAGCTACGAGGAGGTAGGAGGAAGGAGGAGGAGGTAGGAGTAGGTAGGAGGTAGGAGGAACAATGGGACACGAGGAGGTGGAAGGAGGGAGGACGAGAGAGAGAGACAGAGAGAGAGAGAGAGCGGCAGGAGGGAGATAGAGAGAGAGAGAGAGAGAGACCAGCAGCGTCGAGTGAGAAGAGGAGGTGGGAGGACATAGGAAAAGGGAGGAGGACGAGGGAGTTCGTAAGAGAACGTAGGCGAGGGTGGGAGGAAGTAGAAAATGGGAAAAGTAAGAGGCAGTAGGAGGAGCCAGGAGGTAAGGGGGATATGAGGACGAGTGAACTACGAGGAGGTAGGAGGAAGGAGGAGGAGGTAGGAGTAGGTAGGAGGTAGGAGGAAGAATGGGGCACGAGGAGATGGAAGGAGGGAGGACGAGAGAACGAGAGAGAGAGCGGCAGGAGGGAGATAGAGAGAGAGAGACATGGTATGTGAATCGCGAGAGAGAGAGAGAGAAAGACTACTCCAACTCGTAGCCACACACACTGCTGTAAACCCGACCTGCCTCGACCGAGCAAAGCCCCTGGCCTACCGAACAGTACCACAAAATACCCTGGAATACCCTGCAACCCGTGGAACGCCCGGATGGCTACTTTTATGTCTCCTACTCCACCCTCCCCGACAACGACGTCGTCGGGGAGATTTTTCGGCGAACGACGGCGACGACGACGACGACGACGAGGACAGCGCGGACGATGACGCCGACGACGACGGTGACGACGAAGACGGCGAGCACGACAGCGACGACGACGACGACGAGGACGAGGACGACGAGGACAACAAAGAGGAGGAGGACGACGAGGTCGTCGTCGAAGAGGTTTTTGGCGTTTGCGGTGCCTGGAAGCCGTTTCGGGGCCCCGGGGCCGCCAGCAATGAGTCCGGGGCATCGTCGTCATCATCATCATCATCAGCATCATCATCATCACCATCGTCATCGGCATCGTCAGCATCAGAATCGTCGTCATCATCAGCGTCATCGTCAGCAGTATCGGCGTCATCATCAGCATCAATCAGCATCCCTCCTCCTGCGCCTCCTCATCCTCCACGTCCGTGCTCCTCGTCCCTCCTGCAGCGACCGTCCTCCCACCTCCGCCTCTTCCTCGTCCCTGTCCGCGGACTGTATCGGACACGCCAGAGCAAGATTGCAGCCCCCGGCGGCCCCTACGTCCAACAATCCGCGCGCTCGGCTCGCTCGCCCCGGACCCCTGCGGAAAGGGGGGGAGGGGGGGGGGGGGTCCTAACCCCCCCCCCCCCCCCTTTCAAGGGGAGGGGGGGGGGGGGGGGTTCCGAACCCCCCCCCCCTTTCAAAGGGGGGGGGGGGGGGTTCGAACCCCCCCCCCCCTTAAAGGGGGGAGGGGGGGGGGGGGGGTTTCTCGGACCCCCCCCCCCCCCCTTAGGGGAGGGAGGGGGGAGGGGGGGTTCCCTGGAGCACACCCCCCCTTTTGTGTCTTCAAGGTGATCCACTGGCGCTCTTTCCATTTTGGGTCCGTAGCGTTCGGCTCAGGCCGACGCGCGGGTGCCCACCCACCCCGCTTTGCTCCCAGACGCCTGCGCTGGCCATGCGGCCGCAGGCGTGCCAGAGCGCGAGCGCGTGGTCCGTCAGGGCCCACGCGCACGCGTCGGGCGTGAGCCGTCAGGGCCCACGCCCGGGTGGAGATGCGCGTCGCCACGCTGCCATGAGTAAAATACCCTCGCCCTGTCCTGGTCCCTCTCTCGTCCCCTCCTATCCTCCTCTCCCTCCGTTGAGTGCACGCGTATCTCACTTAACGACGGGTCTGCTGGACCCCACGGGCCTGATGCCTGGGGCAACCGCGGCAGCGCAGGGCCTCCGCCCGCGAAGGCTCTCGAGAGCAGCAAGGGCGGGGGGCGGCAAGCGATGGGCGGCGCGAGAACGTGCAGGCCGACCAGGGGGGGCACAAGGACCCGACCTAGAGAGCAACAAATCCACCCTCACAATAAACACCCCGACAAGAGGAGCCGTTTAGGAAACGCACCCAAGGAAGGAATCGAACAGTGTAGGGCTGTTTTGTAAACGCTCCGGGCCGTTTAATAAACGCAAATTATCGGGGTCGGGGTGGTTTTCCTCCCTTGGCGACAGGCGATTCGAGTGGGGGATCGACTACAGAAGTGACGTACCCCGAAATTGGAGTTTTCGTCGAGCCTTCGAGAACAGTACGTCGAATGGCTGAAGATCTACGAACGTCCGACGCATCTCCCGTGGATTCGACAAGTACACCACTTGCTGGCGGCAAATCACTTTTGCGGCCGATCCCCTGCTCGAGCGCTGGGCGACGCGCGACCGCGTGCCGGCCGACCGGGCGAACGACGAGGGCCCGACCCGACGTGGAGAAGCCTCGGAACAAATTAGCGAACACTTGCCTCATTCATCCGTCAACGCATCCCCCCCCCCCCAATGTTCAAAGTTGGCGGTGGGTCTGATGAGATGCACTTCGACCGCAGTCTCCCCCGCGCGTGCCAACATTGAGTTTGGGGGGAGGGGGAGTGTTCAGTAATTGTGTCCCTCTACCGTATCGCGCGGCACTCCCCCCCTTGCGCTCGGCCGCCGGGACCTCCGCGGCCACGTGCGCAGCCCATGGCGCCAGAGCCTCGCGAGGGCAGCCCTCCTGGGCAGGGACGGACCGCCCCAGCACTCCTAGACAGCAGGCCTGCCACGGCATGGTCCTGGAGCCACCGGCTGCTCTGATGGCCAGGAAACAACCTTCGTCGGGCATGCACCCGATGCGTCAAAACAAGGCAGTCTCAGCCAGACAGGTCCTAGGAACATGTCGTGCAAACCGCAAGACGTTTTTTCCCAACCCTCCTTGGTTGGGTAATCGTTTTGAATAGAGCAGTGTGGTCTCCACTCCTTCCTCCTCCTCCTCCCTCCCTGCCTCTTCCTGTCTTGCCTCCGGGGGACTGCGATCTGTAAAACTGTCGCCATTTTCGAGGCCTGCTGGGGGGCCCAGCACAGTGAGGGCGACGCGCAGATTCAAATTAGACCTCGCCATCCCTGGGGGGCTGCGATCTGTGAAACTGTCGCCATTTTCGAGGCCTGCTGGGGGGCCCAGCACAGTGAGGGCGACGCGCAGATTCAAATTAGACCTCGCCATCCCTGGGGGGGCTGCGATCTGTGAAACTGCCGCCATTTCCGAGGCCTGCTGGGGGGCCCAGCACAGTGAGGGCGACGCGCAGATTCAAATGAGACCTCGCCATCCCTGGGGGGGCTGCGATCTGTGAAACTGTCGCCATAGCGGACGCGGAATGCGGAATCAGCCGCCAGCCGACTTGAGCCAAAATGGCTACGGACCGTCGTAGGGGCCTCTTGGGCCGTCGTAGGGGCCCTTTTGGGCCGTCTTGGGGCTCTCTTGGGAGCCCCCTGGGCCGTCTTGCGGCGTATTGGGGGCCTCTTTGGCTGTCTTGGAGCGTTGGGGGCTAGAACAACGAGAACGCTGAAATCAGTTTGAAAACAACTTATCCTGCGACGTACCCAACCCTTTCTACACATGTGGCAGTTACACTCAGGACCACTCAATACCAACGGGCATTTTGAAAGACCCGCAGTGCGCAAGAAGAGCACGAAGAGCACCCAGCAGTGAAGTCAGAAGATTGCAGCAAGAAGAGTGACGGCAGACATACAACAATGGAAACACAAGTGCGTACCTCCGCTGGGCCTCCCAGGAGCCCACGAAAGTGGCGACATATGCGCAGATCGCAGCCCCCCAAGGCACCGCGAGGTCTCGTGGTGGTCTGCGTATGACGCACCTCCGCTGGGCCTCCCAGGAGCCCACGAAAGTAGCGACAATTGCGCAAGTCGCAGCCCCAAGGGCACCGCGAGGTCCCGTGGTGATTTGCGTAAGACGTACCTCCGCTGGGCCTCCCAGGAGCCCACGAAAGTAGCGACAGATGCGCAGATCGCAGCCCCTCAGGGCACCGCGAGGTCCCGTGGTGATCTGCGTAAGACGTACCTCCGCTGGGCCTCCCAGGAGCCCACGGAAGTGGCGACCGTTGCGCAGATCGCAGGCCCCCAGGGAACCGCGAGGTCCCGTGGTGATCTGCGTAAGACGTACTTCCGCTGGGCCTCCCAGGAGCCCACGAAAGTAGCGACAGATGCGCAGATCGCAGCCCCCCACGGCACCGCGAGGTCCCGTGGTGAGTTGCGTAAGACGTACCTCCGCTGGGCCTCCCAGGAGCCCACGAAAGTGTGACAGCTGCGCAGATCGCAGCCCCCCAGGGCACCGCGAGGTCCAGTGGTGATCTGCGTAAGACGTACCTCCGCTGGGCCTCCCAGGAGCCCACGAAAGTGGCGACAGTTGCGCAGATCGCAGCCCCCCAGGGCACCGCGAGGTCCCGTGGTGATCTGCGTAAGACGTACCTCCGCTGGGCCTCCCAGGAGCCCACGAAAGTTGCGACCGTTGCGCAGATCGCAGCCCCCAAGGGCACCGCGAGGTCCCGTGGTGATCTGCGTAAGCCGTACCTCCGCTGGGCCTCCCAGGAGCCCACGAAAGTGGCGACGGTTGCGCAGATCGCAGCCCCCCAGGGCACCGCGAACACAGGAGAGAAGAAGGAGGCGGGAGGGAAGGTTGGAGACCGCAGTGCTCTATTCAAAACGAGTACTCGACACAAGGAGGGTTGGGAATTAATCAATGATGGTGCCCTCTTGGGGCCCTCTTGGGGTCCTCTTGGGGCAGTCTTGGGGCGTACTGGGGGGCCTCGTGGGCCGCATCGAGGCCGTCTTGGGTGTCTTGGAGCGTTCCTGTGCCGTCTCGGAGCCTTCTTGGACCGTCGTCTCGGGGACCTCGCGGGACCCGATTTGAAACCATGGTTCATCAAGCCAACCTGCCGCTACCATTCGCGGGGGCTGGGCTACGAAATGCGCGCCGAACAAGTCCCGCTGCATATTGAGTAACCTTGGCAGATGCGTTACCTATACCTGCGCAGCAGTTTCCCACGGTCTGGGATTATGCTTTGCCACCTTTCCACGTTTGCCACACACGGAAGGCATTGCGACAAAACCACCCCGCTCACTTAGCGGGTGCTGAACAAGCAGGCGCAAGTTGTGACGACGGATGGGGTGCTCGACCTGCTTTGTGCGATATGGTAGCAAGCTTTCCACCACCAAACATTGACTACAATACAACATCATGGATGGCAATATTTTTTTTTTGTTTTTTTTTTCAGCGCCCCAGCATCGGACCGAGAAATCTGGCAAGTGCTGCGCCCCGAGACTGAACGCAGGTGAAACGAGGGATGACGCGGCCGACGGGCCAAGCAGCGTCAAAGGAGGAGGACGAGGAGGAGGAGGAGGAGGAGGAGGAGGAAGGGGACTACACCACTTCCAGTTCCCCTAACCAGGGCGCTGTCTCAATTTGCGTTCGTGGGAGGTCCCCAAAAGGATTCAGCACGCCCCCGGCAACAGCCCGCTGGACAGCAATGCCCAATAATCCCCACCATCTGTGCATCAGTCCCAACGCAGCGCCCCGACGTACACGAGGATGCAGTGTGCGGGTTCGTTCTGTCGCAAGTTTTGGGACTAACTCGATTGCCTGATCACCCCACCTGCCATACACCTCCACTCCAAGACATTCCAGTTTCCCCAGTCCGCTGCTAATTACCTCCGGGTACGTGTCATTATTTGTCCTTTCCGCACTTCGCAACAAGCTACCACCTGCATTGCTAGTGCCTGCCCGTGCCCGTCCATCTGCAGAAATGGGGGAAACCACAGTGACGTCGCAAAATAACGGTACCCCCCGAGCCACGTTTAAGCATGTTACCACAAGGTCCAAACGCCGTTGATCGTGAGGTGGGATTGGAATGTTGGTGTGTCGTAGTTGTCGCTCGACGTTGCGGTCAGGAACCATTCCGCCAGCTTCCAAAAACACTTGCCTCCACGCCGCCACGACCTCCCGATGCCTAGTGTTCGTTCTTCCTCCTACCCCGGACGCAAGTGAAGCGTGTCCATGGGGATCAGGCCCATCATATTGCACTGCAATCCCAAGCCGTCGCCGTACTGCACACCATAGCTCGGTGTTGGTGAGCGCCAATCCGTCGGTAGTCGGTGATACGATCAACCATCCTGCAGAATAACGGCCCATAGTAGATTGAAGTCTAGCTTTTCCTGGACACGCTGCGTTCGTCCGCGTGCTGGGTAACGCGAGGTCACGCTTCAAACGATCATGGAGTTGGTGTTCCAGTACGTTGGAGGCGTGGTACTGCCACCCATGGCACCATTCACCGAGAACCGTATCTGCGGCGTCAGGGATAGTCGGACGCGCCCCCCCTGCTAAGTCCGGCCAGGTTGGACGGTCCCTCCACCCAGCGGCATCGCATTGGTGACCTGCCGCCTCCGCTGCAACCAGACATTCTGGACCCCCATGTCCACCAGCCTGGAGCGTGGTCAGCCTGTACACGATATTTCTAGCCACATCTGGGAATCTGATGGTTAATTGTTGGAGCACGTCAGCCCAACTAGCCCAGTATGCCGCTTTAGCGGTATTGGTAGAGCTCCGTAACCCCATTCCCCCAAGCCGCAACGGCAGTCTAGCTTGTGTAACCCACGCATTGTACGCCACTCCGTGGAAAGCCGAATCCCATCCAGCATCGTGTTGTAGCCCAAATAGTGTTTTGAAACATGCGAGTATGGCGGCATCGTGCTCCTCAGCGAGGGGTTGCACGCGTTCCGGAGGTAAGGTGCGCAACAGGTGGTTGAGTC